CCCGCCACACCAGCCACACGCACCAGCTCCTCCTTCAGGCGCCCTGCCACCTGGTCCTCCTCAAACTCTCGGGCCTCAGCCTTCTCTTCCTCTGTGCGGGGCAGACCAGACCAAGTAAACCAGGACAGGCCCCACTCTGCTTTTCCCTCCCCATCCCCACTCCACCCCTCAGTCACCGGCCCNCCCTCAGTCACCGGCCCCAACACGTGGGTGTCCTGCGGGAAGTTGAGGCTGCCTCGGGCAAAGGGGAGGGAGTGCCAGACGCCTCCCCCTGCCCACCCTGCCCTCATCAGACCTGCCTAAAAGTCCTGAAGGCCTGGCCTGCCCCAGGAAGCCCACTGGAGCTCCGACCACCCTCCCACAGGGCAGCCAGCACCAGCAGCCCCGGCAGCCCCCTGGGGCCCTGCGTCAGTCACCCCTAAGGTGGCAGGGGCTGCAGGTAGGCTTGGGCCCAGGCCCGGGCCCTCACCTACCCCATTCGCAGGCTCACCTTGCTGCCTGAGCTGCTCAAGGTAGAGCTTGGCCAAGCGCAGCTTCTTCTCCTGTGCTGTCTCCTCCAGCTCCCCCAGGTCCTCCTCCTCTGCCCTCCTGGGGGCCAGGCTGTGGGCAGGGGCAGCTGGATTGGGGGGGGCTCACCCACTGCACGGCTCCCCCTGCCAGTCGCCGCCTCATCCCCTCCAGCCTGCGTGGCCAGTGCTTACACACGCAGGACTTACAAAGGGGCCCGCCCGTGCCCGACGGGGTGCAAACAGCCCAAACCCAGGCAGAGCGCTGTGAAATCTCTCCACCCCGCAGGGAAGAGGTTCCACAGGCTCCTGAGAAAAACCAGGTCGTGTATGAGGGGTCCGGAGCCAGAATGGCTTCGGACGTCTCTGCGGCAACTCGGACAGCAGGACATGTTCCCACCCACACAAAACCCTGAAGAAAAATCTAACCCCTGGAATTCCACGTGTTACACCGTCAACGACAAGTGAGGATACTGTCAGGTGTCCAAAGTGCCAAAGAATGCGCCCTTTCTCCTTTTAAGGATGGCGGGCGTGCTCGCCAACGGAGAAAGAGGCTGGCACGGGAGACAGGTCACAGGACACCCAACACGGAGCGCAGGAAGGGCAGCTCCCAGAACCACCACTGGCCGCCCCCAGATGTGGGGGAGCAGCCAGCCCAGATCTGAGGCAAGACACGCTGGGCCTGCCATCACCCCACTGGTCTCGGCTGGACCTTGTGCCGGTGAGGTTCCTGCTCTCCCCTCCGCGGCCCAGTCCCTGAGCTTCACTCAAGACAAGTCCTCTCCTGATTTGCTCCTGGGAGCCGGAGGAAGGTCACCGGAACTCAGAGGCAGAGAACCCAGGGAAGCCCGTGCCCCTGATCACACGCTTGCAGATGCCTAGTCCCTGTCGGTCGTCCCAGCTGGTCCCCGGGACTCACTCATGAGTTCCCAGAACCGACCCTGGGAACTTGCAAGGCCAGGCCATGCTCCAGAGACCACTTAGTACCTTCGGCCCCCAGGGGTGGTGCTGCCCTTCCCCATACAGCCAAGGTCAGAGCTTCTACTCAGTTTACCCAGACTAATCAGGGGTTCCCACACAGCGGACAGAACTCCAACGAAAACCAGGGAAGTATACGCTGTGTGCTTCCACCTGTGTGACGTTCTGGAAAAGGCAAACTCTAGGGACAGTGGTTATGGGGGAGGGGACAGGGGAGAACCGACTACAAAGGAGCAGGGCACTTCTGGAGGGCGATGAAACCCTTCTATATCCTCAGGGTGGTACGCATCTGTCAAAGCTGGCAGAACTGAACACTAACCAAGGGGAAGGTCACTGTATGTAAATCACACCTGAATGAGAAGGGGGGGGGTAGGAAGGAAGGAAACCAAAGAAATGACAAACTCAAGTCAGGAATGGCAATATTTTTAAAATGTGCTGAACAGAGATGGGACATTTAAATAGGGACATTTCCTCATCACTCCATAGTACAAACACATTTCATTAACTCTCCTGTACGACACATTTCACCAGCTCTTCTGTATCTAATGCATTTCTTTTTTAAAAATATATCTTCATTGATTTCAGAGAGAGGGAGAGAGAGAGAAAAAAAAAAATCAACAATGAGAGAGTCATCATTGATCGGCTGCCTCCTGCACGCCCCCAACTGGGGATTGAGCCATAACCTGGGCATGTGCCCTGACCCAGAATCGAACCCCAATCTCCTGGATCCTAGGTTGATGTCAACTGCTGAGCCACGCCTGGCCGGGCTGTACCTAATACATTTCACAACACATTTTAAAAATATTTCAAAGCGATTAACAGAGGGCTTGGCACCCACCCACCCATAGTAACCTTAAGACTAAGAAAAGCATACTGAGTCTTTCTGTGAGAAGCTTAAGGCTGACACATATTAAACTTTAGAAGCAGAATTTCCAAAGCCAACGCTCAAGGCAGGCACCAGCATCCCCTGGTATGAGAACTTCCATTCCACAGGGCCAGGCCCCACACCTCGCTAGCCCGCTCTGAAACCCTGCCACACGCCCCACGCGTCACCTGCAGAATGAGGGAGGCATTCAAAGCCCTCTCCCAGCCGGATGCACCCACCACCTGGCCTTCCACCCTCTTCCATTCTGGCGCACTTACACCCCAGACTTTTCGGATCCCCGAATGCCTTCCCTACCTCTCCGTGAGGGACTCCCCCTCATCTCTCCAGGCCCTATTTAAATGTCCCATCCTCTGTTCCCGAGGACACACAGCTGTAAGACTCACATCCCGTTACAACACAGTCAGCCTTCACCTGCCTGCTCATCTCTTGTGCTCTCAAAAGCCAAGCCAGGGCCTGGCCTCGGTTGAGAGTCAGGGGGGAGACCAGAAATTGTGAAATTGGGGGGAAAGGGAATGAAGAACTAGCCGGCATTCCTCGAACCCCTCTCCCCCTCCAAGTCAGTCCAGCCTGGGCTCACCAGGGGGGTCTCAGGGGTCTCCCATGGGGGCTGGGGAGAGGGGGAGGGGTGTCCTCCCCACACAGAAACCCTGCAGGGAAGGAAATGAGACTTCTCAGGATCAGAAACTGGAGGAAAGAGCCAAGATCTGACAGCCCAGGGCCAGAGTTCTGGGTCCGAGGCCCAGGCCCACCCCGGCCTCCGCGGCCCTTCCACCGGGCGGGCAGAAGAGCTCACCTCTCGCCCTCGGAGTCGCTGGAGATCTCCTCGTTCATCTGCCCGCCGCCCTTGGGCTTGCCCCGGTCCCCAGCAGCGTCGGCCTGGGAATTACAGGATCCTTTGGTCAAGGGGACCCCCGGCCACTCCGGCTCCGACCAAGGGCCCCTTCCGGTCTCTCGAGAGCCCTGGGGCTGGGGGTCTGGCCGGCGGACAGAGGGACGAAGCTGGGTCCAGCTGGAGTCCCGGGGAGGGGACG